TTAGAAAAATTAATCCCTTTATTGAAATATAATACGTAGTGAGATTTATTTAATTCTAAGTCTGTAATTTGATGTATTTTGGCAAAGTTACAGTTGTGTAATCATTGTCCCAGTTACAACATGGAACATTTTTATCTCCCCTAAAAGTTCTCTGGCCTTTTGGCCATCAGTCCTGTTCTCCAACTTTGGCCCTTTTGGCAACCACTTATCTGCTTTTCTGCTTATATATATATTCTTTTCTTTTCTTTTTTTTTGTTACTGGGGATCGAACTTGGGTCCTTGCGCTTGAGCAACAGGTGGCGAAACCACTGAGCTAAATCCCCGGCCCTTTTTTTTCCTTTTTAAGACAGGGTCTCGGTGTGTAGTTCAGGCTGGCCTTAAACACACTGTGTAGCCCAGACTGGCCTTGGACTTGCTGCAATCCTCCTGCCTCAGCCTCCTCCCAATTGCTGGGATTACAGGCATATGCCACCATGCCCAGTATGCCATTATATAGTTTTGCCAGTTTTCTAGAATTTTAGTAAATGGAAGCACAGCATAGAATCTTTTATGATATGTTTTTTTCACTATAATGCTTTTGTTACATTCCTTTTTATTCCTACATAATATTCTGTTGTGTGGATATACCATAATTTGTTTATCCATTAAGCTATTTGATGGACATTTGGGTTGTTTCCACCTTTTTGCTATTGTGAATTGTGCTGCTATCAATATTTGTGGTGATGGAGGTTGAACTCAGAGCTTTGTGCATGCTAAGCAAGTGCTCTACCACTGAGCTACATCCCCAGCTTTCATTGTATGTGTGTGTTTTAGCCAGGGTCTTAGGGCCCAGGCTGGACTCAAACTGTTGGGCTCAAGCAGTACACCAACTTTAGCCTCCCAAGTAGCCATTCCCAGCCATAACAATCTTCTGCCCTACGGTCCTAGTGTCTGTGCCCTTACGCATTCCTGCCTGCAGTGGGTGAGAATTTCAGCAACTGACCACCAGTGATGGTGTAGTTTTATGGTTGTAAGCATGTATGCCGACCAGATGCTGTGCAGCCCTTGGGGAGGAAGTTTGAGTGGTGAGGGTTGTTTTTCTACAATACCTCTTACATCCCATGACTGTTTGACCCTGGAGCTTTTCTTGAGGCAGAGTGGCCTCAGTGGATCCCATTTGTAACCTCATTAAATTCTGGATGAGTGAGGTAAGGCCCAGAGGCTTTCATGAGTCATAACTATTTTATTCGCAATGGTTAAAAAGTTAAGAATATTAAGTCATTGTTTCTAGCAGATCCTTATGCCAGTTGTTGGTAGATCTTGGGGATGAATCATGTTTTGTGTTCCTTACCTGTTCTCATGGACAACTGTGAGGCAACGTGGAAAGCCAGAATAGATGCTAAATCTGAAGACAGTATTTAGCAGTTATTCCCCCCCTCCCTAGTCCGTACATTAAGGAGATACCTAAGCTGGGTATGGTGGCTCACCTATAGGCCCAACCCCTAAGGAGGCTGAGGCAGAAGAATGAAAAGCTCAAGGTAATCCCAGGAAATTTAGGAAGACCCTGTTCTAAAATAAAAATTTTAAAATGGGTTGGGGGGCTGGTTCTTGCATAGAGTTTGAGGTTTTAGGTTCAGTTCCCAGTAGAAAATGGGAGGGGGGGGATTATCAGGCTTGACTTGGTTATGAAATGGTTAATGACTATGCTCTTTAATTCCAAGATACAGTTTGTCAGGATGCAAAAAACCACAACAAAACAGGCAGCTGAAGCAGTGTCCTCAGCTATCTCTGAACAGATAAAACATAGAACACAGGATGGGATGTTCCCAACAAAGAGGTAACAACTACAGAGTACAGCATCTTTTCAATGTCAAGTCACTGGAATATATCCATACATCTGCCTTGATTGCTGCATGGACCCTGACCACCAATATTTGCTCTGACCCCTGTATGTGACAGACGTGCCAAACCTCTCTTCCAATGCCCTGTAAAGCTTCCTGCCTTTTCTTTGTTCGGTGCTTGCTTGTGGTCAGTCCACCTCTGCCCAGGTGAATAAAGTCTATACCTCTTTGCTTTCAACTAGCCTGCTTGGGTAGTCTTCATCCCTCTTCATGCAGCCTGCCCCCTTGCCCTTTGTTACAAGAATGAATGAGAATGAATTTTGAGGTCTTAAGTTCAATTCCCAGGAGTGGGGGAGAAAGGGGGGGAGAGTAGGAGAGGGAGACAGAGAGGGAAGGGGTGGGAGAGGGGATATGTAATTTCACTGCTTTGGATTACTTTATTTTCTGGCCTGTCTGAGGTGCCTAGGGACGGAGCTGATCTGCTTCTGTTAATGCTTTGGGAAGCTGATCTTTCATTTTCTTACAGGGATAAGGTCTATGAGGGACCTTAGAACAGAAGCTCTACTTCATTGACCTTCCAAATTTAAGTATATTGCACAGTGAAGGCAAACAAGTTTATATTAAGAGGTTAAGTATAATTGAAACAAAAGAATTGCAAAACAGGACTTCATCACATAGAATGCTTTGATATTTTGTTTTATACTATTTTATTTAAAACCAAAACCAAAAAAACACTGCTGGTTACCACTCACTAGTTAGATTACAAACTATAGAGATGGACTCCAAGCCTCTCGTCTCCATTTTACAGACCAGAGAACTAGAACCCAGAGGGAGGGACCAGGGACTTGGAATTGTTCTCCAAGCAGTTGAGTGACAGAGAATCAGGCCTCACCTCACTGCTGCTGCAGGCTAATCCATTGTCTCCTCTCTCTCTGCCTCAGTTTTGGGAGTTTCCTTTGTCATGAGACTTGGTCAGGCAAAAAGGGTCTTACTTTTCCTACTCTGTATCCAAAATGAAGATCAGGAGCAGTCTTGTGGACTGACAGAAGACAGAGTTGGGTGCAGTGGGGAGGGTGGCAAGTGCACATAGTGATTTTTTTTTTTTTTTTTTTTTGGTACTGGGGATCCAACTTGGGTCCTTGCACTTACGCAGCAGGCGGTGAAACCACTGAGCTAAATCCCTGGCCCACATAGTGATATTTGAGACAGGGTCTTGGTATGTAGTTCGGGCTAGTCTTGAACTTACTGTGTAGCCAAGACTGGCCTTGAAGTTCAGGTGATCCTTCTGCTTCAGCCTCCTGAGTGCTGGGACTACAGGCATGTGCCACCACACTTGGCTTCACAGTTTAATAATTATAGTATCTGCTTCAGGTTTTGTTACAGGCAGACTGACCATGAGTCAGTAGTGTTCCTTTGGTATTGTTTATCAGGAGGGCTTTTTGTGGGCTGGGGTTGTTGCTCAGTGATAGAGCACTTGCCGGACATGTACAAGGCCCTGGGTTTGGGTCTCCAGGGTGGTGGGGGTCTTCTGTAGACTAGTGTGAACCTGTCTATATAAAACTACAGAAAGGACCTCTGTGGTCAGGCATCTCAGAGCTCCATCTTCTGGAGAGAGTCTGGAATCGCTAGAATGTGCTCATTGGTCTGGTCCCATTGCCTGTATGGCTTGGAACTCAGTACATGCCTTTCCGAGGACTTCTCTGGTGTCAGGTTAGAAATCAGGACCTTTGTGTCTCTGTTCTTTGTGTATAGGAAATCTTTTTTTTTTTTTTTTTTGGTACCAGGGATCGAACTCGGGACCTTGTGCTTGTGAGACAGGTGGCAGGACCACTAAGCTAAATCCCCGGCCCTTGCATATAGGAAATCTTATTGATTCTTAGTCCTCGAGTCCAGTTGGGACCTACAGTTTCTCTCTGAAAGGAAGAGATTACCACCATCTTAAACTCATTTTAAAGAGGCTACTATAGAAAATATAAATTTGTGGTGAAAAGACTTGCATTGGGACAAGCTGAATGTTGTATATGTATAATGGGAAAGCTGTACCATGGCAGAAGTACCATGGGCCCTACAGGCATTTGAATGGGGCATCTAACAGTCTGTCGGGCTCACTTGGGAGCTGTGGCTTACTGGCTATGGCCCTGGATATCTTTCCTAACCTCCCCTAGTCAATTTCATTGTTTTCAGCAGGAATAGTAGTGTCTATTTTATAGAAGGTTAGAATAAGACCAAGAAGTTCCTGTAATGAGCCTGGTACATTGCAGGTCCTTGGAGTCATGGAATCTCCCAGTAAGACCCCTGTACCACAAGATACTGTAGTTCAAGCCCTATAAGCAGTGTAATAGTAGAGACTGCATGTCTGTGAATTATAGACAGAAAACAGAACTAGCTTGACATTCCCTAAAACAGTTGACAAGGCACGTACAGAGAGGTATGCTTTCCTGACATCCAGTTGTGTGGCTGTGGATGCATACTGAGATCTGGAGCCCTCCATCTGTGCTGGATAAGAACCTTGATTGTCCCCAAAGCACAACTTTTGTTTGGCGAATAGGGTAGAGTAGATAAAAATAGTCTGTGACCTAGAACACTACATATCTTTTTAAATGGAGTTAGCCAGCCTTGCCTGATACAGATGTTAATCATTAAAGCTAAGCTCAAGCTTCATTGCTAATAAGATTAATGGAGCTTGTCTTTGGCCGTGGGCAGAGGTGGTGTGTGGATACCTTGGGTGCGTAAATCTTCATAGATGATGCATACAGTGATTTTTCCTCTATTTAAACACATTTTATAAAAACATAATTAGTGAAGAGAGTTGGGCACCATTCACCTTAGGCTTGACAGAGTTACTAATTGGTAAGATTTAATGTGAATATTTGGAAATTGTCATTTTCACCCCCTTGTGAATTTGTGCTTTTGCAGTGCAGTGGTGAGGGCCCTGGCTGTTTAGGAGCCCCTGGAGCCCAGTTTCTGCCTGTCAGAATCCTCCCTTCCTGGCCTACCCCCTGGAAGGCTCTTTGTCTTCTGGAAGAGGTGGGGCTGGTGTGGGCAGTGTGGGTGGAGCCCTACAAGAGCTGTAGCTGTTGTCTTTCTCCTGGAGGGGAAGGGCCAGTGGCTGTGCAGCTCAGCATTTTGTTCCCAGGCTTCTTCCAACCCACATGTCCTCATTTTGTTTGCTTCTGGTAGAGTGACCTGGCCCAACAAGCTGAAGAGTGGAGACAACACGGACACACAGACAAACAGACGAACAGACGGAGGACGCGCTGGCCACTGGACCCCGCTGCCTCCCCCTTCTCTCTGCCTCCTGTGTGCAGAGGATGAGCCCAGCCTTCAGGGCTATGGACGTGGAGCCCCGCACCAAGGGCATCCTGCTGGAGCCCTTTGTCCACCAAGTTGGGGGGCATTCGTGCGTTCTCCGTTTGAACGAGACAACCCTTTGCAAGCCCCTGGTCCCAAGGGAACATCAGTTCTACGAGACTCTGCCAGCTGAGATGCGAAAATTCACTCCCCAGTACAAAGGTGAGCCCCCAACTCCTAGAGGGGTCACCAGTCTGGTGAGCTGTGAGTGGTTGTGGCCATGGAAGGCCCTGGCAACCATCCTGGGAACCCTCGCCCCTTCCACGCACTGTTTTCCCTCCTCCTCCTCTTGGCCCTCAGCCCAGCACCTCACACCCTCAGTTTGCAAGTCCTGGTAAGATTGCTCAATTCTGTTTTGCTTTGTGGATTTGTTTTGAGTTTATTTTTGGTGGAAGTATAGTTGTGTTTTATGTTAGGTGTCTCTTGATCACAGTAATCCATAGTCCCCCATGGGCTGAAAACTGGGGAAAAACGGGGAGGATTTTACCCAGAATTCTTGCTGCCTGCTTTTTGACCTCCAGGAAACCAGAAGCCCAGTTGATTAGATAGGCTGGGAGCAAGATTGAGTCAGATGGAATGCAGGAGTGGGAGGACTGTGCTGATTAGCCACAGGCCTTAGCTATTACAGAATGTCCCCAAAATTTCTCTGTGAACTCAACCCTTTGATTCACATATGGTGACTTTTTCTTTTTATAATGCATTTTTTGGGGGACATCAGTAGCCACCAACATGGTCCAGTCTTTCATGGGGAGAGGGTATCTTTTATAAATCAGTGGAGAACATACTAAAGAAATTAATTTTAAATGTGTATTACTGGTTATACAAAAGACTCTAGAACAACTTAGGTTCTTCTGGGACTATTGAAGCATTTTTTAAAGACAATGTACTGGGAGCCGATCTGTACGCTGAAATGCATGTGTGTTGTGGTGGGGGAGGAGGAGTTGGGAGCCCTCACCTGGTCCTTCTCTGTTGTTTTTTTCCAGGACAAAGCCAAAGTTCCCTTGTTAGCTGGCCACCCCTGCCCCCTTTTTTACCCTGGTCCTTTCCCCAATGGCCACAGGGAAGTGTGGTCCCCTGAGCTCCCCACCCCGGCTTCTCTGCACCCAGAGCTGGGGCCACCTCAGAAGTATCGTCTCTCTGAGCACGCATTCCCCTGCAGCAAGCGAGCAAGCGGCGGGTGGGCAGAAGGACTGAGGAGAGTGAGTGATCCTGGGGCAGAGAGGCCTGGCAGGAAAGGTGTTCAGCCAATTGGTTGTAAGGCGCTCATCGGCACCTGCTGAAATGTTCCCACCTGACAGCCCCTCCTCAAAGACTGTATAATCACACATGGCAGGTCCTAGAGACTCAAGCGGGAGAGCTGCTTTCAAGGCCAGCCTGTGTCTGTGCTCCCTGCCCAACCTTATCTGCCTGTGTTCATTTTGTTCTTTTGTGACTCAAAACTGCAAAGATCAATAAAAGCATAAACAAGAAAGATAAAAAGCTTGGGACACTAACTCATGTGGGCACACTACAGGAAGCCTTTGCTAGGATGTCTGTTGTGCTGTGTGGTTGTTTTGTTTGCCTCTTTATTTTGCTTTGCTTACCCAGTCTTACTCTGGCTGTGCTTTAAAGCCAGCCTTCAGGCCGCCGGAGTTTCTGTTTCGGTCATTCACAATTCTCATAGGACATAAAGAGCAATGTGTTTGCATTTCTCTTAGGATTAGAAGAATTACATAAAAATTAATAAACATTTTCAATGATGGAAAAATGTGTCTTGTAATTCTTTGGCTCTTGCCTTGTTGAGTTAATTAGAGAGGAAGACTTGGCCGTGTTTGCTCCCTAATTGCTTGTCTTGTATGGTGTCATTTTTTCTAGCTGTTTTGATATTTGTTAGGTTTGCAGATGAGTTTGGGGCCTCTGGCAACATAGAGACTAAGGAACAGGGTAAGAAAAAAAACAAATGTTACAATCATGTTATTTAGAATGCATTTTCCTGTGGATTAAAGGTCCTGTCTGCTCCTCACCCCCTTTCCAGGTGTGGTATCTGTGCACTTTGAAGAAGATGAAGACAGGAACTTGTGTTTAGTAGCATATCCATTAAAAGGGGACCATGGAACTGTGGACATTGTAGACAATTCAGACTGTGAACCAAAAAGTAAGCTTCTAAGGTGGACGAATAAAAAACATCACATCCTAGAAACAGAAAAAACCCCCAAGGACTGGGTGCGCCAGCACCGGAAAGAGGAGAAGATGAAGAGGTGGGTGTAGACTGAGAGGGGAACTTTGGCTCTGTGGGAGCAGAGGTGTTGGGGATCTTGGTTACAGCCACGTTCCCTGGACTGTTGGTAAACTTACAGGTGCCCTGTCACTCAGTGACCAATCCCACACAACCTGGCCAGCATCTCTAACAAACTCTGGGTTAAGACATGCCATTTTAGGCTGGGCACAGTGACATACACCTGTGATCCGAGCAGTTGAGAGGCTGAGGCAGGAGGATCACTGTGAGTTAAAGGCTAGCCTGAACTACATAGCAAGATCTTGTCTCAAAAAAGAAGAAAAAAGACATGCCATTTTAGGTAAACACCTGAAGTGGAAGCTGTAAAAGAAAATTTTCACTTACTCTCACACTTGCTCTTTGCCATGCCCTGTCCTGTCCTACAGATGTGATGGAACCATCCCTTTACCTCAGATTGCTCATCAGTTGTGGAGGACATCTGTGAAACTTGATCAGTGGGGCAGGACCTTCTAAGTTCTGTCCCTTAGTAGAGCTTGTGAAGATATAAAATATAAATTAGCTGGATAAAATATAAATTAGCTGGGTGTGGTAGGGACATCTATAATCCCAGAGCTCTGGGAGGCTAAAGCAGGAGCAAGCCCAGCCTAGGCAACTTACTGACTTAGCAAGACCCTGTCTCAAACTGAAAGAAGGGCTGGGGATGTAGCTCAATGTGAAGGCTGTGTTCAACCCTCAGTACTGCTAAGTAAGTCAATCTGTATAATATGACTTAAATAAATTAACCTTATTCCTATGGAATTTCAATTCTGATTTTCCCAGTCCCCAGCATTTAGGGTCAAGGGATCCTGGGTACCAGAAACCATGGGTTGGTATTAACTGGAAGGGGATTGGAGGCTGCCCACCTTGATAGTTAGGGTGCAAGGGCTGCTCTTTTGATTTAGGTTCTTGCATTTTTTTTTTTTAGTCAACTTTCTTGAGCAATGTGTGTGATAAAATATACCCATTTGAAGTGTTTAATGAGTTTGGGCAGAGGTGTACATTGTAACCACTGCCATATCAAAATATCCATCTTGTCATCACTCCAGAAAGTTCCTAATGCCTCTTTGACAATGATTTTTGTTATGACATTGTGATTTACTGGATTTTTATCTCTTTATAGCCATAAATTAGAAGAAGAATTTGAATGGCTAAAGAAATCTGAAGTCTTATACTACAGTGTAGAAAAAAAGGGAAATATAAGTTCCCAGCTTAAACACTATAACCCTTGGAGCATGAAATGTCACCAGCAGCAGTTACAGAGAATGAAGGACAATGCCAAGCATCGGAACCAATACAGTATCCTTTCTTCATGGCCCTCTGCTATGGGGGAGGGATGAGGGCAGGAGTAGGCTCTGAGGGGGTTGGATTAAACCATGGTGGAGTTTTCTTCTAGGGCTGTGCAGGATATGCTGTGTTATAACTGGGCAAATATTGCATCCCCTTCAGCTAGAGGGTGACCTAGGTGTGCACGTGGTGGGGATAGGGGTTGGGGAGCTTCAGGAGTGATGGGTACCCTTGAAGGGCCCGGCCTACATTAGGTGGGCTGTAGCCTCGGAAACCTGGAGGACAATGGCAGAGGCTGGTCTCTGTTTGCAGAGAAAGTTCCTCACAGTGCTCACCTGCAAGGGCTGAGAGGTGGGAAAGCAGGCTCCTGTGCTTTACACAAGGAAGCACCAGGTTCCCTTAATTTGTTTGCCCTTCTTACCTTTTTTTTGGTACCGGGGATCAAACGGGGGTCCTTGCAGTTGTGCAGCAGGCGGCGAAACCACTGAGCTAAATCCCCGCTCTTACTATTCTCTTTATTTTGTGGCCTCGGTTGTCTTTTTAATCTTACAGGTTGAAATTCCTCAGAATTTAACTTTTATCAGGGAAAACATTTTAAAAATCAAAAAATACACTAGATACTGAAGTACTTGTCACTTAGATTTCACACTTGGCCCACTGTGTCCAATCTTGTATCATGACTGTATACACCCAGCAAGCACAAGTGCAGCACTGGGGATTAAACCCAGGGCCTCATGTGTGCTACACGGATACTCTTAACAAGGGGTTTACACCCCTAGCCCTTTTTAAACAATTTTTTTCCAACTAGACTCTTTTTGGTTTTTTTGGTTTTTTGTTTTTTATTTTTGGTACTGGGGATTGAACTCAGGACCTTGCCACCTGCAAGGCACGCACCAGAACCACTGAGCTAAATCCCCAGCCCTTTTTTTTTTTTTGGTATCAGGGATCGAACTCAGGACCTTGCACTTTCGAGGCAGTCGCTGGAACCACTGAGCTAAATCCCCGGCCCCCAACTAGACTTTTTGAAGGAAATTTAAGATATTTCATTTCATCCATAAACTTTTTTTTTTGGTACTGGGAATCGAACTCGGGTCCTCGCACTTGCACAGCAGGTGGCGAAACCACTGAGCTAAATCCCCGGCCCCTTTTTTGTTTTTATTTATTTTTTGAGGCAGGGTCTCACTTTGTAGTTCTGGCTGGCCTAGAGCTCCTGGCAGTTCTGCCTCCGCCTCTGAAGTGCTGAGATCACAGGTATGCACCACCACGTGGGGCCTATATGCATATTAGTATGTATCTTTAAAAGATACAGATATTTTAAACATTTATACCATTTTTATTTCTTAAAAATTGGAAAAGCCTAGCATGTTGTAGTGCACACCTATAATCCCAGCATTTAGGAGGCTGAGGCAAGAGGTTTGCTGTGAGTTCAGTGCCAGCCTGGGCTGTATAAAGAAAGACCTTGTCTCAAACAAATCACATACACACAAAAAGGGATAGTAAAAGCCAGGCATGGTGGTGCATGCCTATAATCTCAGTACTTGGGAGGCTGAGGGAAGAGGATTGCCATGAGTTAGGCCAGCCTAGGTTACATAGTGAGTTCAAGGGCAGCCTGAATTACATAGTGAGACCCTGTCTGCCCCCCGCCCCGCCACCTGCCAAAAAAAAAGGACAGTAATTTTTTTTTTTGGTACTGGGGATCGAACTCAGGTCCTTGCGCTTGCACAGCAGGCAGCGAAACCACTGAGCTAAATCCCCGGCCCCAAGGACAGTAATTTTTACTATAAAATACATAATTTGTCAGGTGTGGTGGCACTTTCCTATAATCCCAGCACTCTGGGAGGTTGAAGCAGAAGGATTGCAAGTCTGAGCCTAGCCTTGGCAATTTAGTGACATAGTGGGACCCTATCTCAAAAGATAAAAAGGGGCTAGGGATGTAGCTCAGGGCAAAGACCCTAAGTATAATCCCTAGTAGGGATGGGGGAATGACAACCACAAAAGAAATTTTTAAAACCCCATCTACTTCATATCCACATATATCTACATCTTCTTTCTTGTGTCAGTCGGTTTTTATTTTTGGTTTGTTTGAAAGGGGATCCTTATGAGATTTATATAGTATGTCAGGCATGGTGGCACACGCCTGTAATCCCAGCACTCAGGAGGCTGAGGCAGTAGTATCACCATGAGTTGGGGTCAGACTGGGGTACGTAGTGAATTTAAGGCCAGCCTGAACTACGTGGCAAAACCCTGTCTTAACTATGAAAAACAAAAAAACCAACCAAACAAAGGATCTCCTTTTCTGGGACTTGCTTGCTTCCCTCCTTGGATCCTGTCTCCTTGGTGCCTTCTGGTACTTTCTTGGTGCTCATGCCCTTGCTGTGGGGAAGGCAGGGATGGCTGTCAGCACTTTGTGGTGGTGGTGGTGGTGGGGTTCAGACCCCAGAATGTTCCACTTGGAGTGAAAGGGAAGCTGGATGGGGCAGGCTTCTGTAAAGGAGGGACATAGGAGGGGCTGCCTTGTCACCAAAGGCAGCTACTCAGCCATATCCCCTGCCCCAACCACACAGCCCTGGGTGACACCTTGTAAGGCACAGGAGGGGAGCAGTAGGTTTTGTTATACAATAAAACACCACCTGGACAGACAAAAAAGGTAGGGGGTTGAAAGGTTTATAAGTGACATTGGAGTCAAATGTTTCAAGTCTTTACCTCTTCCCATTATTTTTTTTCCTGAAAAATATATGGCCTTGAACTTGTCAGCAGTCCTGCCTCAGCCTCCTGAGTGCTGGGATTACAGGCATGTACCATCATACCCAGCTTTTTCTTGAAAATTTCTTATCAAACAAACTATCTTCTAGAGTTTCCTTTGATTTGAATTTTACTGATTGCATCTCTGTGGTGTCTTTTATATGTTACTTTGTCCCTTCTGTTTCCAGTAAATTGATAATAGGATCTGAAGGCTTCATCAAACTCAGGTTCTCTTCTTGGGAGGACAGGAGCAAGAATTCTTGGGAGATGGTATTGTACATGTCCCTTGATTGGGAAGCACAGTGTTCAGTTATTTCTCTTAGATCATCATTACCTTGGATTCATTTATGTATTAGGTGCTATGTGTGTGTATGACTGAGGATTGAAACCAGGGCCTTCACACTGAACTAAGTTACCCAGCCCTTGTTAAATTTAATATTTTTATTTTGAGACACGATCTCTCCAATTCCCTAAGTTGCCCAGGCTTGGCTCAAAGCTCTTGCCTCAACCTCCCAGAGTGCTGGGATTATAAGGGTATACTACCACACCACACCCAGCTGGGATTTTCATTTCTTCTTTTTTTGTGTGGTACTGGAGATTGAACCCAGGGCCTCATAGATGTTAGGTAAGCACTTTTACCACTGAGCTACACCCCCACCCAACCCTTTTGTATTTTATTTTTAGGTTGCCTGGGCTGGCCTCAAATGTGTAATCCTCCTGCCTCAGCCTCCCAGAGTGTTGGGACTACACACATGTGCCACATCATTCCCAGTTATTAGGCAGTTTTATAACTTTGTTATCCATTGGAATAATTCTATAAAGAGTGACTTTTTGGGGCCGGAGATTTAGCTCAATGGTTCTGGTGCCTGCCTTGCAAGTGCAAGGACCCGAGTTCTATCCCCAGTACCTAAATAAATAAATAAATGTGACTTTTCCTTATCAACTATGTACTTACACTGAGGTACATTTTGTTTTGGTTTTTTTTTGGTACCGGGGATTGAAGTCGGGTCCTTGCGCTTGCACAGCAGGCAGCGAAACCACTGAGCTAAATCCCCGGCCCATGAGGTACATTTTATATAGGAGCGGCAGATGTATTAATCACTTTTCCATTGCTGGGACAAAATACCTGACTCCTGCAGTTTAGGAGCGGTTCCAGTCCATGATAGTTGTCTCCAAGTAGAAACATCATGGTGGAGGGGCCTGGCAGAGGAAAGCTGCTCACTTCATGGCTGCTGGGAAGCAGAGAATGAGGGAAGAGCCAGAGAAAGGAAGGGACTGGAGACAGGATATACTCTTAGAAGGCATACCCTCAGTGACCTACTTTCTCTACGTGGGCCCCACCTCCCAACAATGCCTTCAGATTAATCCCCTGCTGAGGTCAGTTTACCTCTAGGTTCCATCTGGGAAGATGGCTGCACTGGGAATGAAGCCTTCAACAAATGAGTCTTTGGAGGGCACTTCATATTTAAATCATAACAGTAGGTTAAATGCTTATTTTCCCTTAGTAGGTATTTGGAGTAATGAGTAGGTTCCCTTCCATCCTCCAGAGGTGATTAGTAAATGACACACTTTTTTTTTGGTGCCAGGGATCAAACTCGGGACCTTTCGATTTCGAGGCAGGTGGTAGAGCCACTGAGCTAAATCCCTGGCCCTTCCAGAGGTGATTAGTGAGGTTTGTTGTTTTATTTTGTTCAGTTTGCAGAACTGAGGAACAAACCTCAGTTCTGGTCATTCCTTCACCTACATTCCCCAGCCTTTTTATCATCTTTTGAGACAGGATTTCCCTAAATTGCCCAGGGTAGGTGGTCTCAAATTTCTGGTTCTCCTGCCTCAGCTTCCCAAGTGTTAGGCTTATAGGCATGTGCCACCGTGCCTGGCTTGTCTTGCTTTCTGATGTGAAAAAGATGGTCTGGAAAATGGCTCTGTACACTTCCTGGCTCAGATGTGAACTCAGAACATTCCTCGAAGGCAAGAGTCAGTAAACTTTTTCAATAAAGTGTCAAATTAATAGATATTTTAGGTTTTTGTGGACTGTACAGTCTATGGCACAACGCTCCCATTTTGTCATAGACAGTAATATAAATGAACAGGTGTGCTGTGTTCCGATTAAATTTTTTGGTCACTGTAATCAAATATCACTTTATTTTCATGGGTCATGAAGTATTTTTCTCTCTTTAAAAAGCATAAGCTGCGAGGGCTTTAGCTCAGTGGTTCCAGCGCCTGCCTCACAAGCACAAGGTCCCGTGTTCAAGCTCTGGTACTAAAAAAAACAAAAACAAAAAGCACAAGCCATTTCTAGCTTTCAGGCTGTATGGCCAGGAGCAGTAACCATATTCACCAATTTATCCTCCAGGAAGCACTGGTTCCTGCTCATAGGAATTGGGGAACCAGCTGTGCACGAGGGGCACTCACTGCCTCTATTCATTGTGTCTCGGCCTTCTCAGTGCACACAGCTGGGAAATGGACTTTTTTTTTAAGAAGAATATTTTCATGAATTTGTACTGGTATTGATAGTTCACATTTAAGGGTACAGGATATATTGAACTTGTTCTTTTGTGTGTAACTGAGGACAGTATGCTCTGGCACTATGGTGCCATACCTAGGGCAGTTCAGGAAATGGTGAATGTGTCTTCCAGGTTGAGGATCTCAGGCCTGTGTTGAGTCTAGGTGCTGGCTGCCCTTGTGCCAAGTCCCTTTGACAGCACAATTAATGGACCTTCCCTGTGGGCTTAAGCTTGTCTGGGTCACCGTGTGCAAGCCCTTTGCCATGGGAGTATCCAGGCCCTGTGTAGTAGCACTTCCTCTTCAGGGTACTGTCCTTAACCACTTAGAATTCATCTTACTAGAGAACCTGACTTCCCACTACGAAGTACCATGTGTCCTGGACCTGAAGATGGGCACACGCCAGCATGGTGATGATGCTTCAGAAGAGAAAGCAGCCAACCAAATCCGAAAATGTCAGCAGAGCACATCTGCAGTCATAGGTGTGCGTGTGTGTGGCATGCAGGTGAGGAACGTGCTAGTACATGAGGAGGGCTGTCTGGGGCATCCAGTGGCTGCGACTGACCCACCATGCCGTGGTTTTGTTTGCTTTAATTCTGAGTGTGTTTCTTTTTGGTTGGAAGAAAGAAAAAAAAAAAAGCAACCATGTCTAGGTGATCCCTCTGAGGCTGGCCTGGCAGGCTGAGTCTCGAGTCTGGACAGGAGTAGGGATGAAGGCAAGAGGGTTAGGCTGTCTCCACAGATGCAGATGCAGAGCAGTGGGCTGGGAGTCCGTGACCAGATGTGGTTCAGATACTATATTCATCAGCTCATGTGTGGCTGGTATAATCAACAAGCTAAGGGATTGGATCTGGGCTGTCACACTGCCCCAGTGCCCAGGGTCCAGGCCTTGAGGTGGCCCACACACCTGAGCTGCTGGTCTCTCCCTCAGGTGTACCAGGCGGGCACAGGGCAGCTCATGTTCATGAACAAGTACCACGGGAGGAAGCTGTCGGTGCAGGGCTTCAAGGAGGCGCTCTTCCAATTCTTCCACAATGGGCGGTACCTGCGCCGGGAGCTCCTGAGCCCCGTGCTCAAGAAGCTAGCTGAGCTTAAGGCAGTGCTGGAACGACAGGAGTCCTATCGCTTCTACTCGAGCTCCCTGCTGGTGATCTATGATGGCAAAGAGTGGCCTGAGGTGGCCCTGGACTCAGATGCTGAGGACTTGGAGGACCTGTCAGAAGAGTCAGCCGATGAGTCTGCTGGTGCCTATGCCTACAAGCCCCTTGGCGCCAGCTCCGTGGACGTGCGCATGATCGACTTTGCCCATACCACCTGCAGGCTGTATGGCGAGGACAGTGTGGTGCACGAGGGCCAGGACGCTGGCTACATCTTTGGCCTCCAGAGCCTGATAGACATTGTCACAGAGATCAGCGAGGAGAGTGGGGAGTGAGCTTGCTAGCTGCTCCAGGATCTGAGAGACATTGTATCCCAGGCACAGCTGTGCTGCATCAGGGAGGAGGTCAGGATGGCCAGGTGATGGCCCCTGCAGCTTGGAGCTGATGCACAGTGGCCTTTGTGAGCCCCAGCCTGAGCCAGCCCCATCTGTGCTCAGAATCTATTTATTTTAACTATTTCTTCAACATTCCAAATTTAATGATGCAGATACCTCTTTCTTTCCTGAGTGTAAATGTTCTAATACAGATTTTTTTGTTTATTGTATATGATGCTGCTGTTGTTCTTTCCAGGGGCATGTAGTCCCTCTCCTTGACCACATGCTGTAACCCCTTCTGTGGCCCAGCAATATTCTTGCTACTGCCCTTATCCTTTAGAGCAGAAAGTCACCAATGTCTCTTGCCTTGGTTACTTGAGGTCACCCAAAAAAGACCCCCTATACACATATCTTACCCAGGTTCCACTAATCTGCCAGCTAAGTCTCCCAGCGTCTGTATCCCAAAACTGCATTTGACACAGCTTAAGCCAGAGTTGGGCAGCAGGTGCACCAAACCGTGGGTCTAGCTTTTGATCCCTTTTGTGCCATGAGCAGCAGCTGATTGGCTAGTCATTGTGATGTCAGAGATCCTGGAGCCAGTGCCAGGACTTCGGGTAGTCACTAGGCTCTGGTCCATAGGGAGCTCTCTGATGTGTAGTAAAGCAGGGCACAGTGAGGGGTTGTTCTGGGGAGGGTGAACCTTGGCCATATCACCTATCGCTACTCCTACACAAACCTAGGCTGCACTGAGTAAAACCATTCCTTTACAAAGTCAAGCCAGCGAAGCCCCGAGAACTACTGCTGCTCTTTTTCCCAGCAGGTGCTTGGGAAGAGAGGCCAAGTGGGCTCTTGAATTTTAGAGCCAGATCTGGTGCAGGGAAACCTGGGACTGGATGTCAGGTTCTAGCAGCTCTGTCCCTCATCTGAACTTTCAGCACCTCTTCCCCAGGCCCTCTGTGCTACCCTACTATGTCTAAAGCAGGCCCCTGCTCCTGGGCTCAGGTGTCCAGTAGAGCCTGTGTGACCAGCTCCTGGTACAGCCCCTCATGGGATATCTTCCTTGGGTCTCACAGGCACTGACTCCCAAGGATTTCAAAGATCTGGAGGTTTGGGCTGACTAAAAAGTTGAGTGGGTCAAACATACCTCTAAGGCCACATGGTATCCCACTTCTCATCCTCTGCCAGCCCTCCTTTCTGCTTTTGGAAGTTATTGGAATAAGAGTAGCTGAGTGTGGTGGCACATGTCTATAATCCCAGTTATTGAGGCTGAGGCAGGAGGATAGCCAACCTGGACAATTTAGGGAGACCCTGTTTCAAAATACAAAAAAATCAATGGTAGGGCGCTTGTCTAGGATGGGTGAAGCCCTGGATTTGATCCCCAGTACTGCCAAAAGGCAGGGTCTGGATTTTATGTCCTATAAAGGCAATCAGTAAGGTGCTAGCAGTTGATAGGGGTGGGAGCTTGACTGAGGGAGGGGAAAGGAGCATCCAGGAAGAAGGAACAGGATATGCAGACCCGTGACAGAAAATGAGAGCTATGGGGTGCAGTGTGGGGGAAAGGAGGACTCTGGACAGAGGGATCATCCACCCTAATATTTATGCCTCCCTTGCTCCCACACTAGCTCCAGTGCTACCACCGGACTGGCCCGGGAGGGACTTCCCCACCAGCAGAACTAACAATAACAGCGCCGTCTCCAAGTCCTTACTGTTGTAGGCTGAGACCCACTTCGGGGCGGCGGGGCTCTGTGGAAGGGGCCTGCGAATGGGATCAGGGGCCTAGAGCCGAGAGGTTGAGGCCGAAGGGACGGTGGGTGCCTGAGCTCGCCTTGCCGCGCCTCTTGTAGCCGCCAGGGGCGCCACGCTCCACTCCCTGGGCTGACGCTCCCGGGGCGGGGCCACAGCGAGCGGGCACGCGCACGCACGCACGGTTTGTCTCACGGCGCAGTTGGGCGGGGCGGCGCGCTCTCCCGGCCTGGTGTTACTCTCCGCACCCTGGCTACGTACCTAGTCCTCTCGCAGCCCGGCCCAGTCCAGCTCCATGTACCGCGCGCTGTACACCTTCCACTCGGCGGAGCCCAACGCGCTGGCGTTCGCCGCAGGCGAGACCTTCCTGGTGCTGGAGCGCAGCAGTGCGCACTGGTGGCTGGCGGCGCGGGCGCGCAGTGGCGAGACTGGCTACGTGCCGCCTGCCTACCTGCACCGTCTCCAGGTGAGTGTGCCGGAGTGAGACCACCGCCCCGAGCACCGACCCCGGACCCCGGTCCTTCGGGCCTGGAGGCCGACCTCTAGCACCCAGGGACTTTGAGCACCTGACTCCGAGACCCAAGGCCTGTAGGCACTGAGATCCCAGGGGCGAGCAACCCCTACAAAAGACCAGGCCCTTGACATTCAACACTAGAGCTACCAAAAGCTTAGCTCTGCGACTGAGACCCCTTGGGACTTCAGACACCTTGGTATCGGAACCTGCGTCTGAATAGATTCTAGAGCTAGACCCAAAGACTCCAGTTACCAAGTTCCAATACCCCAGTCCTTAATATTCCCCTTCCCTGGATCACTAGGGTTCCACACTCCCCCACCATCACTGCCATGGAGCCGACTGCATTTACCGCTGAGACCCCCAACACTGAGAAAAGGCCACCTTAGACACCACTCACTTCTCTAAACACCTTCAGGTTCTCAACACCCCCCACCCTTGGACCCTGGAACCCTTAAACGTCCTCCTCCTCTTGGTGACCCCCAAACCCTGAGATCTCAGTGTTTTTGACTGTCCTGTGCGCAGCCACTCCCTAGTCTCTTAGCAGGAATCTCTGAACCGAGGTCTCCATCCCCTGCTGACCCTCCTAAAACTGTCTCTTCTCTCCCCATGTATCAAGCCCTAAGTTTGCAGACTTCTTTCCTATGAAATTGAGAGGATCCTTCTTTGTCCCTAGACTGGAGTGAGTCCTCCTGAGGATTCCCCTGGTCTGATGATGTCCCCATTTCCTTCCACTGGAGATTGCAGTCCCAGTTCTTATTCCCCCAATAGCAGCCCTATTGCAGGGACTGGGGTCACCATGTCTCCAATTGGTCTCTTCTAAGATTTTTTTTTTTTTAGGTAGATTATCTTTTTTTTTGGTACCGGGGATCTAACTCGGGACCTTGTGCTTGTGAGGCAGGTGGCAGAACCACTGAGCTAAATCTCTGGCTCATCCAATTGGTCTGTTCTGACCGCAGGGCTCAGAGGTGGCCTCTGCCAGACACTCCTGCCCAGTCCTAGTCCCTAGCTTTAGAAAACATTCTGACCTAGACCAGTTCAGGATAGAAATAAGATAATCTGCTCTTTGCCAGAGGGGATGAACCCTCAGCCATCCTGGGGTTGGGCTGCTGGGTCTGGAGTGAGGAGACCTTGGGGTGGAGAGAGTCCTGCCTCTTTACCTACTGAGCATAGGCCACAGGCAGGATCAGTGAGGCTGGGTGTTTGGGGATGGCAGAGAGGCTGCCATCTTTTCTGTTACTGCATTTTGGCTTTTTTCTGCGTATTCTTGTGTCTTGATTTCTCGTGCATCTCTGTCCATCTCATTCTGACTCTCCACTTGGGTGTTTTTCTTTCTGACTCCCACTCTGTCTCTGGCGAAGTCATCCTTCTTTGTCTCGCTCTGCCTGCCTCTGAGTCCCTTTCTGGCCACTATTCATCTCTTGTCTCCCTGCATGGTGGTACACCCCATGCTACCTGAAGGGCTTTGCCAACTCTGCATCCAAATGCCTGGCCCCATGAGGAAAGCTTCTCACTCTGAAGTGAGTTCCCTCAGCTCTGAGGCTCCTGAGTATCTGGTTGATCATGCGTGCTGGGGTCACGGGAGGGCAGGGTGACTGGTCCCCTGTGTTGCTGAGAATGAGGACTTGAGCCTGGAGCCTTGAGTCTGTCTCTTACGTCCTTCCTTTACAACAGACATAGAGCTACTTCCCAGGGCAGATCTGAAAGTGACTGGGGCAGCTTGGGAAGACGAATACTGACAGCAGGAATGGGGAGGGGAGGTTCCCTTGGCTCATTCTTAGCACCTAGAGCCTTCACAGGGCTCTACAGGGACAAGGCTGTCCTGGGGTGTGACCTTGGTGTTGTTGTGAAGGATCAGCAGGATCCAGAGTGATTAAGGATTCCAGACACTGTAGGCTGCTTGGCGTCTCAGCCTGGGCTCTGAACCTAGCCCGGTGATGGAATAGGTATGCAGTCCTGGCTCCAGATTGAGGCTCGGTGGGGTACTGGTTTACTCCAGACCCCAGGTCTCTAGAAGTATCTGAGCCAAAAACTTTCTATGGGGTGAAGTCCTGATTGAGGCCCTATGTGTAAAATGACATCATGGGGACACCTTGTGCCCCTGCTCCCTGAGGGATGCTGTTTGAGACCCCATTCAGTGGATCTCTACTCAGCTTCCTCTTGGGCTGGGTTTGGGCTGAGCACCCCTACTTGGGCCCAGATCTGACTGCTCACCTCTTACAGGGTCTAGAGCAGGATGTCCTCCAGGCCATTGATCGGGCCATTGAGGCTGTGCATAACACAGCCATGCGGGATGGTGGCAAGTACAGCCTGGAGCAGCGTGGAGTCCTCCAGTGAGTGCTGGGGAGGTGGGTGGCTTCTCCAGGGAGCATTAGAGATGTGCCTGATGGGGCTGGGGTAGTATGGGGACCACAGAGTGATGGAGCATGGGGAGATGGTGTGTGAGGGCTGGGCCTGTGGGGTCCCAGCCTCCCACAAGGCACCTTTGAGGACTGTAGGTATGTAGAGTGCTCTTTGCCATAGTCTCCCTGTCCTCCATAAGGAAGCTGATCCACCATCGGAAAGAGACCCTGTCTCGTAAAGGACCCTCAATCTCCAGTGCTCCAGTTATGACTGCATCCACCAGTGACCATCATTTGGACGCTGCCACCACTAGGCAGCCCAATGGGGTGTGTCGAACTGGGTTTGAACGGCAGTACAGCTTGCCCATTTCTGAGCATCTTGGGACAGATGGAGCCCTCTACCAGGTACGTGGTGCGGGCATCCTGGAGAAGGAGGTGGGTGGAGCTTAAGGCTTCATCCTGAGGCTCAAGGGTCCACTTGAAACAGTGATATAACCAGAGCCATAGCCCTGCCCACGGCCAGAGCTCAGGGCACCAGACAGCAGCCTGTCCCCTCAGATCCCATTTCGGTCCTTGCAGATCCCACCCCAGCCTCGTCGAGCAGCACCTGCTACACCACCCCCACCTGTGAAGCGCCGAGATCGAGAGGCCCTGGTGGTCTCAGGGAATGGTGAGAGGCAGGTTGGGGGAATTGAGGTGGAGCACTCTGGGCTTGGAATGGCTACTCTGCCCATGTCAGCCAGATAGAGGGTGGAGGCTGGGGAAGAAGATAGGGCCCCTGTGTTGGGCATTTGGGGGCTCTGGGCTTGATAGGGACACAGGGCCTAACAGAGACACTGGGACCTGTATTGAGGGATAGCCTTCTGGGGTAGGATGGACGAGGGCCCCAGGGGGCAGCCTTAGTGCAGCATCTGTCCTCTGCTCACAGGTGGCCGAAACACCACGCCCTCTGGGTGTAGTTCAGTGTCCAGTGGCTCCTCGGTCAACAGCACTTCTCTGGATACGCTCTATACTGGCTCCAGCTCCTCTGAGCTGGGCCTTGGCTGCTCACCCACACCCCCACCTGTGCCACGCAGAGGCACCCACACAGTGTCCCAAGCCTTGCCTTCTCCCTCCAAGGCACCAGCCCGTGAGTCCCCTACAGAGGAGGTGGTGGTTCATACAACTTCAGCCCCTGATGACTTGGAGTCCCTGGGTGCTCTGAGCCTGGGGACCACAGAGGAGAAGGCAGTGGCTGAGACAGCTGTGCCAAGGACCATTGGGGCAGAACTGATGGAGCTTGTGCGGAGAAACACCGGCCTGAGCCATGACTTATGCCGCGTGGCCATCGGCGTCGTGGTGGGTCACATCCAGGCCTCTGTGCCAGCCAGCTCACCTGTCATGGAGCAGGTCCTCCTCTCGCTGGTAGAGGGCAAGGTGAGGGGGGCAGCATGGCCAGGAGCCTCCCCTCAGGCCACCCTGCTAACCCCACCCCATTCCTACCCACACACGTGTCCAGCCTGTATGTGACAGGTATTTCTCAACTCCAGCTCTGGGCTTTCATTTGGCTGGGCACTGGGGATGTTTGAAGTGACGCAGGAAGAAGAAAGGGAGGAAGAGCATCTGAGGCAGAGGCTCAACCTGGCCTAGGGCCATGATGCAGGGCTGAGTGTGGCTCACTGGGAAAGGGGAAGAAGGCAGTGTGGATGGCACACAGGTGGAAAGAGGAGGTGTGAGAGGAGCAGAGACCTGGAGTAGGTGGCCGTGAGCCCAGAGGTGGGTGGCCAGGAGTCCTCTCTGGCCACAGGGAGGAACTGGACTTGGATGGGCACGAGCCAGTGCCTTCTTGGCCTTGGCAGTGGTAAGAATGTGGGCTTGGAAAACTGTCATGGAGGTCTGTCTGCTGCCCAAATGAGAGGGCATAAGGCATGTTAGGCTCTGTGAGTTTCGTGCAGGGCTCTGGTCAGGAGCAGAATCAAAGGCAGTGAGCCCAGACCATGTAATGAGAGCTGGCTGGGCCCAGGGTCCCTCTGTAGGGCTCCGCCTGCAGTTCTGGCTTGGAGTGGTGGGGCACTGGCCAGGAGTATACTGTAGTGGGCACAGCAGCCAGTGCCTCATCAGCAGGTTTCAGGAGAATGTGCAGGGTGGGAGATGACGAGCCTGCTGCCACTGGTAGTGGATGGGAGTGTGGGGTCTCGGTCGCATTCAGGAAGTGATGGAGTCCATGCCCTTCTCATGAAGATGTTTATCTGGGTGTTCAGTGAGAGGCAGGTTGTTGAGAAACCTCCCGCCTAATGCAGAATCCTATCGGGGGAGGTCATCAAGACTAGAGTCAGACCCCTCCCCAGTGTGGGTCACACAGGACTTCAGCTCGGTGTAGGCCCAAGGGTCCAGGCCTTGAGGGCTTCCTGGAGATGGTGTGCTGAGCCATGCTTTGCCCTTTCTCCCCAGGACATGAGCACAGCCCTGCCCTCTGGGCAGGTCTGCCATGACCAGCAGAGGCTGGAGGTGATTTTTGCGGACCTGGCTCGGAGGAAGGATGATGCCCAGCAGCGCAGCTGGGCCCTGTATGAGGATGAGGGCGTCATTCAATGCTATCTGGAGGAGCTGCTGCATATTCTGGTGCGGGGTGGGGGCTATATATATCCCCAGCATGTGAGCAGTGCCCTGCCCCACCCCATTCCTCTTTCATCCTTAGGTGTCTCCCCTGCACACACACACTCTGCTTATTTCAGTGTGGCCACATAGCCAGCTCACTGGGTGACACACACTTCCTCCTCCCTGCAGACTGATGCTGACCCTGAAGTTTGCAAGAAAATGTGCAAGAGGAATGAGTTCGAGTCCGTCCTGGCCTTGGTGGCCTATTACCAAATGGTGTGTGCCTGACAGAGGGGAGGGGTGCATGGAGGTATGCAGGTAGGCGTGGTGGTTCCAGAAATTCAGCACACAGGGTTCCCTACCAGGAACACCGAGTATCACTGCGGCTGCTGCTCCTCAAGTGCTTTGGGGCCATGTGCGGCCTCGATGCAGCTATCATCTCCACACTTGTGTCTTCTGTGCTGCCTGTGGAGCTGGCGAGGGATATGCAGACAGACACACAGGGTAAGGTGGGCGGGAGAGTGTCCTGCCATCAGGAGGGGGTCCCTCATCCGCTGGGGTTCCTGCCATCTTTAGGATTCTGACTGCCTGTCTCTCCACCTCAGACCACCAGAAGCTCTGTTACTCTGCGCTCATCCTGGCCATGGTCTTCTCCATGGGGGAGGCAGTGCCCTACGCACACTACGGTAAGAATGCAGATTGCTGACCTGTTGACTGCAGGCCACAGAGGTGGGACCCATGGCTTTTTTTTTTTGGTACCAGGGATTGAACTCAGGACAGTGGAACCACTGAGCTAAATCCCCAGCCCAGGGCCCTTGGCTTTTGAGGGTTAGCAGGGATAGGGCATCCCCAAGGCTCACAGGAAGCCCGGGAATCTGAGTGGCATAGGGGGAGGGACGAGACTCTAGACTTGGTGTGTGCCCTCTTCTAGAGCACCTGGGTACACCTTTTGCCCAGTTCCTGCTGAGCATCGTTGAGGATGGGCTGCCCCTGGACACCATGGAGCAGCTGCCTGATCTCTGCATGAACCTGCTTCTGGCTCTCAACCTGCACCTGCCAGGTGAGGATGGGACCTGGCTGGGAGGGGCCGATCAGAGGCTTTGCAGGCTGTGTTTTGCCTTGTCTACACCCTGTCCTTCCTCAGCACCTGACCAGAACGTCATCATGGCTGCCCTGAGCAAACACTCCAATGTGAAAATCTTCTCTGAAAAGCTGCTACTTCTTCTCAACAGAGGAGGTGAGGGCCCTAGAATATGTGTTGGTATCACTTGCATCTCCTGTGTTTCCATGTCCCCCTCTCGGGTCACTCTGGGACCCCAGCAAAGGCTACACCGACTCTATGATCCCTGCTTTCTAGATGACCCTGTGCACATCTTCAAACATGAACCACAGCCGCCACACTCAGTTCTCAAGTTCCTGCAGGATGTTTTCAGCAGTTCTGCCACAGCTGCCATCTTCTACCACACAGATATGATGGCGCTCATTGACATCACTGTACGGCACATTGCGGACCTCTCACCCGGAGACAAGGTGCTTGGAGGTTGCCACACGGGGATGGAAGCTGAATGAAAACCAAACCCTTTTCGGGGGTGGGGGTGGGGTGTGACACTGAGTGGACATGAAACAGGAGATAGGGCTGCTGCCGGAGCCAGATAGGTGTGGGTGGAAGGCCACTTGGAAACCAGGACAAGTGTGCTAGGACCCAAAGGAGGCAGCTGTGAGGCTATCTAGATGGGATGTCTGGGGAAAGCCTCAAAAGAGAGCATGGGAGTTGAAGACGGAACATAGGCTACACACAGCACCTTGGGGGCTGCAGCAGCAGTGGGAATCTCAGAGGAAGGGGAAGTGGTTTAATGACACCCTCATGGGACCTCGACCTCATGAGGGCCAAGTGGGAACTGGGTGCAGACAGGCCATTGCGGTGGTAGAAGGAGGTCGAGTTTGGGGTGTGTTGGATGGAATCCAGCAGTTTGATGCTGGATTTGTCTCGAGCAGTTAGGGGGGTGAAATCTGACAACTGATGTGGGGAGGGCTGAGGGGAGAATTCTTGGGAGGAAACCAGTTGTGTGTTGATAGTGTCAAGATGGGAGTGACGCCTGTTAGACATTGGGCACTGAGAGCATGAGGAAAGCAGTGGGACTAGAGACTAGAGAGCCACTTTGGGGTATCTATGCAGCAATGTGATTGGAAGCTGTGCCAGTGTGATCACTGAGGAAATTGGGCAGAAGGGCAGGGTCAGCAAGGAGCCTGCCCTCACCTGGGCACCGCAGGACCATGTATAGAGGAACCCAGGAAGGAAACCAGGCAGGCAAGGGCCCAGAACTGTGTTCAGGAGGAGGGAGGTCAGGAGCTTCAGCTGGGGGCTGAGAATTGGCCATTGGGCTCACCATACCGCTGTCAGCAGTGACTGACAAGTGACAGTGTTCATATATTCAGAGGAGTGGAGGACACGAATGGAAAATTGGAAGGAATTTGAAGTTACTGAGGAGTGGGAATGGGGGAGGCTGGATGCAGTAAACAGAGGCAGCTCCTGTAAATTTTCTGGGAAGAGGAGTAGAAAGGCAGGGATGGGGGATGGAGGAGATGAGCTGGGGTCAGGCAGAGTATCTTGGAGGTGGGAGGCGCTGTGTCCATCCTGACCATGAGCCAGTGGTCATGTCAGAACGGTCACATGAGGAACGCATGATGTGTCGGGAGTGGGGACCTCCGCAGTTCATTCTGCTGGGGACAGGCGAGATGTGGGTGCTGAGAGCAAAACTTGGAGTTTCTGAAAGATTGCTTCTGTGTTTTCCAGGAAGCACAAGGCCAGCTGGCCAGGCAGTTTGGGTATGGAAGCCAGAGAAAGTGGGTGATGCTGCAGTAGAGAGAATGGGGTGGAGGACAGCAGTGAGGGGAGTCCCTGCAGGGCCACATGGCTGTCCAAGAATTCATGAGTGAAGGTCAAGGGTTGCACATGGTTCTGGCCTTGTCCATTGCCTAGGTGTGGCATTAGGTGATGCTGCTGATGGGAGATTCTGGTACTGGTTCCTCTATACAGAGGTAAAGAGAGGAACGAGGGATGTTGGGGGCTGAGGGAACAAGTGCTGGTGTCAGGCCAGTAGGTTGAAAGTCTTAGGGTGTCCAGTCTTGGGGCCTGTTTTAACTACTTGCACTAGAGGTGCTGGAAACAGAAGTTGGGAGAGAGGGTGTTGGAGATGGGTTAAGGGACTAGGATAAGATGGCCAGGTCTTGGAGGTGAATCAGATGTGGGGTATGCAGAAGAGAGGAATTAAAGAAAGCACCTATATTTCAGGCCTGTGCTTTTTTTTTCCCCCTTGAGACAAGGTCTTTTGTGTGGTTCAAGCTGGCCTTGAACTCACAGCAATCTTCCTGCCTCAGCCTCCTGAGTGCTGGGATTATAAGCATGTGCTACCACACCCAGTGTGGGGCCATGCTGTTGCATCAACAGCAGTGTTCTTTCATGAGATAGAGAACATGAGAAAACTTTCAGCTTGGGGAAAAGGGGGATGATCAGGTTTGATGCTGGCTGTGTGGGTTTGAGCTCTCTGAGATATGCAGACAAAATAAACAGGCAATTGGATATTCTTGCCTGGAGCTCACAGGACAGATCTAGGAGAAGTATGAGGCCAGGTCACTGTTTGAAACTGTGGATATTAATGAGACCTTTCAGGGCGAGAGAGGGGCAAGAGTAGAAGCACAAGGCCTCCCTCCGACTGACAGACATGGCACTTCAAGGGCCTAGTACTGAAGGACTGGCAGGACTTCCCAGGGTAGGCCCCATTCTGGGACTCCCTATGGCTGGGAAGATTCATTCATTCACTTATGCAACGACTGTTGAAGGCCAGTTCTGTACCAGGTACATTCTGGGTGCTGGGGACGTAGCCCTGATGTTCATGCAGTACGATCTGGTCTGTGGCCTGGGTCCTTGGAAGATAATGGCTAGTTCCCATCTGGTGCCAGTTGCAGTATCTCCCAGGAGTCCCTGAGCCAGCCTTCTCTTCCCACAGCTGCGCATGGAGTACCTCTCCCTGATGCATGCTGTGGTCCGCTCCACACCCTACTTGCAGCACCGCCATCGGCTGTCGGACCTGCAGGCTACACTGCGGCGCATCCTGACTGAGGAGGAGACCTCACCGCAGTGCCAGATGGACCGCATGATTGTCCAAGAGATGTGCAAGGAGTTCCCAGTGCTTGGGGAGGCCCCCAGCTAGCACCTTCCTTCCCCCGCTTCCCTGCAGCTCTGAGAAGGGTGCAGGGGACTCAGGGGCTTCACCCTAAGAATGTTTTGAGGGGCTGAGTGGAAGGGCCCTGAGTGGGGCCCCCACCTCAATAGATCCAATCAAAGAGGCCAAGTTTCGAATGGGGGACCACAGTCTGGGAGATACACTGGGGTGGAAGGAATGTACAGGCGGAAGCCCCTCTATCCCTGGTAGTCTGCCTCTTTAGCATGCCTCGCCTCCGTCTCATACCCACCCACATACTTAGAGTCCTGCTGCTGCTCCAGGCTGGGCCAGAGCCCCATGCCCGCCTGCCTGGCCTGTGTCTGGGCCTCTGCAAGCCATGTCCTTAGGCTGAGGGGAGGTGTCACCCACCAGCTCTGCTCTTTGCCTTAGCTTTGCAGTGAGTGCTGCTCGTGCTCCCTCAAACCCCATGGGGTCAGCTGCCCTTTGCTTTTAACCCAGGAGGCCTTGGCCAAGCTGCTGCTGTGAAAGTGGAAGATATCCAAGAATATCCAGTCTTTGAGACGCACCATCGATTCTAGTGCTTCATAGAATAGGATGGTGACATTGAGAGAGTCAGTGACAGAATCTATTTTCTCTAAAAATGTAAACTGAAAAGTCATGTGTATTTTCCTATGTGTTGCAGCTCAACTTTGGAAATAAATCAGTGCCATCTGGAGTCAGGCTTCCTTGTATGACCCTGGTGGTGGGGGGAGAGGGCCTCAGGACCCTGTCATCTGGCTTCCACTGTTCCAGCCTCTGTTTCCTGAGCTGCCCTTCTGGGTCCCAGTTTTTTGTTTTTTTGTTTTGGTGGCAGGGATTGAACTCAGGACCTTGTGCGTGCAAGGCAGGGTCGGTGCCACTGAGCTAAATCCCCAGCCCTGGGTCCCAGTTTTGCAGGTGGCTGCATGTGCAGCCACTCTTCTATGAAAGCCACCTCTTTCTTCCCTGTTGAGCTTCCATAAGCTATTCTCAAATGAAACAAGCCTTCTCTCAGCTGTGGTCTCCCTGAATATGTGGGGCTTGTCCAGCTTTATTTCTGTTATCACTAAAACCAGTGCAATCCCCTCATTTTGCAACCTAGAGATGTGGTCATTTTTTGAAGGTGAAAGAGTCTGTGTGTGTTTGTATTTTTTCCTCCCTCTTTTTTAAAAAATAAATTTTATTTTCTCCCATTTCCCCCCCCTCAAGCCCCCTCCCCTCCATATGTACAAAAGCTTAGTTTCCATTTTTTCCTTTTTTCTTGTCCCTTCCTCCCTTGTTCCCCTTCTCATTTGAACACTTTCTTCCCATTTCCCAACATCCATTATACACTTCATTCCTTATTCATTCCACTTTGGATTTCTCACACCAGAGAAACAATGCAGTATTTAAACATGTATGTCTGATTTATTTCACTTGAGTATGGTTTCAAGATCCATCCATGTAGCTATAAAATGTATGAAGCTCATCTTTATGACAGAGAAGTACTCCACATCTTCTTTATCCACTCGTCAGTTGATGGGCATTTGGGCTGTTTCCAAGATGTAGCTATTACAAACTCCCGCTATAATCATGGGTATGCATATATTGCTGTGGTATGATGCTTTTAATTCTTTCGGGAAGATACCAAGAAGAGGTATAGCTGGGTCGAATGGAACCTCTAGTTTTACTTTTTTGAGAAATCACACTGATTTCCACAATGGCTGTACCAGTCCACACTCTCACCATCAGTGGAGATGTGTTCCATTTTTCCCACAGCCCCGCCAGCATTTGTTATTGGTTGATTTCTTTTCTTTTTTTTTTTTTGGTACCGGGGATTGAACTCGGGTCCTTGCGCTTGCACAGCAGGCAGCCAAACCACTGAGCTAAATCCCCAGCCCTATTGGTTGATTTCTTGATAGCAGCTGTTTCATGTTTTGAGACCAGGTCTCCCTACATAGTTCAGGCTGGTTTTGAACTCACCTGGTAGCCTAGGCTGGCCTCGAACTCAGTCCTCCTGCCTCAGGCTCCTGAGTGCTAGGAATACAGGCGGGCACCCCCATCACACTCAGCTTTGGAAGAGAATGTAAATGGTGTAATTAGGTTTGCAATCCTACTTCAGAGGGACTAGAAGCCAGTTTGATAAAATTTCATTCTCTTCGTAGGCTCCCGGGTTAGCAAAGAGGCTGTACTAAAAAATGGCAAGAAATACCAGGATCCACACCTAGGTGGACAGTGGGGCATCAGTGCTCTTCATTTCTGCCTAGGGCTTCATTCCTCAACAGTCCATACACCCAGTCATCAGTGCTGACTTCTGTCACAATTTTTCCTTTTTTACTGGGTGCTGAAGGCAGGGAGCTGCTGTTCTCCGAGCAAGAAAAGAACACAGCAGGCAGCAGAGGAGGTGCAGGGTGGAGTCCCAGCAAACAGGTGCTCAGGAAGCAAAGGCAGGACTGTTTGCTAGGGAATCCTCTGGAGGGAAGCACAGAGGCCTCTGGGTGATGGCCCTCCTTAGCCACAGGCTGTGTGGGACGCTGAGCACACAAGCTCTAGGGTCACAGTCAGATCGCTCCTCCTCATCCTGGAGACAGTCTGCCTCCTCTTTGCCATCTGCAGTCAGCAATGCACCCTTCAGTCACAACTCCTTTGTCACTGGAGTACTGAAGTCAGGCAACCATTACCTCACAAGAGAGGGCAATTCAGTGAAAAGCACATGTCCTTGGGAAGCTGAGGCAGCAGCATCTAGCATGAACCATGATTTTCTGTTTTCCCTGTCATAATACACACACCAACCTGGTGGGAAGAGCAGAGCTGTGCTTTGGTATCTGTCCCAGTGTTGGCACCTAGGATAAACAGTGTGTGTCCACTTCTGCAGGGATGCACAAGTTGTAGCTGACAAAGTTATGTAAATGCTAGGTTTTGGTAAGCAAACTTCCTCTGACAGGGTCAGGGTCAGGACTTCAGGACCCCTCAGCAAGCACACTGATGATGGTGTCTCAGCACAAAATTAGAGCCACAGAGGAAAACTATGATTAGCTTCTCAGGGAGCGAACTGCCATTGAGACATATCTAGGACTGTAAGGAAGGTTGTAAATGAGGCTAGGCAAGATAAAGGGTATGTGCGGGGTGGGGATCTAGCTCAGTGGTTCTGCTGCCTGCCTTGAAAGTGGAAAGTCCTGAGTTTGATCCCGGGTACCAAGGAAAAAAAAAGATAAAGGGTATGAGAGCACAAGCCACTCAAAGAAAGGCGGTATCTGGGTCGAGTCCAGAAGAAACTCAAGAAGCTTGGGGGGCGGGGGGAGCTGGTTTCTATGTCAGAATAGCACCTGCAAATAGGTGTGTGAAGGTGGGATGTGCACAGGGCCTCAGCTGCATTGCACAAGAAAACCCCAGGGTAAGCAGTAGAGACGAGATCACCTGCTGGCTCAGTGCCCAAGATACAGACTGAGGCTCTAAAGTGAAGACAACCTTTTTTTTTTAATGAAAGAACAACATATTGTGAAAAGTACAGTGTTCAAAGAGTACTGTGGCCATGAAAATGCTAGTATAACCACAACCCAGGTGAAGTAACAATATCACTTCTCCTCAAGTCGCTTAATCAGTCCATCACTGATTCCTTCCTCCTCCCCAGAGGGAACCACAGATAAATTTTGCCATGGAATAAGCATGTCCTGGCTTGCCACTCACTATTAAGTGTCTGAGATTCATATGTCATAGTACGTGACTGCAGTTTGTTCATTCTCAATGCCATATGGGCAGTACACTCATCTGTCCATTGTTGATGACCTTCCAATTGTATCCAACAGTAGCATTGTTACATATGTCTTGCTTGAATCCTCTGTTTTGGGGGTATGATCCCAAGACGAGAATTATTTGCTTGCTGGCAGATACTGCCAAATAGTGTTGGTTGCAGAGTACTATACCTCTCAGTGTGTGCTCCTCCAGTAGGGAGAGTTCCAGCTCTTTCAGTCTTTCCCAAAACTTGGTATGGCTGGGTTGTCCCTTATTGGTAGAGCACTCATCTTCTATGCACAAGGCCCCAGGCTCAATCTGCAACCTGCACTACAACACACACACACACACACACACACACACACGCACACACGCACGCACGCACGCACTCCAGAACCTGTTGTCAAGTCATTTTTACTTTAACTTTTCTAACAGAATGGTATGTGTTTTTAAATTTGCATTTCTCTGATGACTAAAGAGGCTGAGAACATTTTCATTAGTATACTGGCTATTTGGATATTTTCTTTTTTGATCCATTTATTCAAATCTCTTACTTGTATATCCTTTGATTTGTGTTTCATCAATATGTAGTATGTATTCGGGATATGAGTCCTTATGGCTTTCATTGTTGTTTGCAGTACTGGGTATTGAACCCAGGACCTCACACTGACCTACACTCCCACCCCACCCTCTTTAAAAATTTCTAGACAAGGTCTCCCTAAACTACCCAGGCTTGGTGTGAAATTGTGATCCCACTCCCTCAGCTTCCCATGTTGCCAGGATTACATATGTGTGATGCAGCACCTGGCTGAATCCTTAGGTTTTATATTTTATAATATCTTCTCCTACTCTTGATTGATTGATTGACTCCTGTGCTAGGGAATGAACCTATGATCTTCACACTGAGCTATATCCCCAGCAAACACCCTCTCCACCCCAGTTTTTTTTTTTTTTTTCTTAAAGACAGGTCATTAAGTCACTAAGTTGCTCAGGTTGGGTTTAAATTTCTGATCCTTAGGGCTGGGGATTTAGCTCAGTGGTGCCACGCCTGCCTCACAAGTGCAGGGTCCTGAGTTCAATTCCCAGTACGGGGAGAGGGGAGCAAGTTTAAAAAAATTTCTGATCCACCTGCGTCAGCTTTCTAGAGTGTTAGTATTACAGGGCTGCACCACTACTCCTGGGTGTGGTTCCCATTCTTCCCCTCTCTCCACCTCAGTTCCGAGGATTGAACCCAAAGCCTTTGCACTGAGCCACATTCCCAGCCTTTTTTATTTTTTATTTTGAGACAGACTCTTGCTAATTTGCTAAATTGCTCAAGCTGTACTTTAACTTGTGATCTTTCTGTCTCAGCCAACCAGAGTGCTGGGATTACAGGCAAGTGGTAGCCACCATGCCTTGCTTCTCTATTTTTTGAGATGGAGTTTCACTATGTTGCCTAGGCTGGTCTCAAATTCCTGGGGTCAAAGGATCCTGCCTCAGCTTCTTAAGTAGCTGGGACTACAGGCACATACCACCACAGTGGGCCGGTTGTAGGTTTTTTGTTTTGTGGTACTTTGATGGAACCCAGGGAGTGCTGAGCTATACCTCTAGCACCTTTTAAAAATTTTAAGACAAAGTTTTGATATGGTGCCAGGGATGGGCTTGAATTTTTTATCCTTCTGCCTCAGGCTCCCAGAAAGCTAGGATGACAGGCCTACAACACCATTCCTGGATCTGGTCCCCTCCCCACTTTCAGTACTAGTGATTGAACTTAGGGCCTTCACAGTGAGTTACACCCCTAGCTTCTTTTTTCTTTCTTTTTTTTTTTTTGTAGTACATGTTTGCAGTACATGATTACATTTATCAGGGGGAATTTGTACATGTACATAGCACATCTTAATGTTTTTCATCCCCTTCCCTTCCCATCACTCCCTGCTCCCTCCAACTCTTGTTCCACTTCACATTTGCAAAAGCTCTATTCTATTTTTTTCTTCAATTCTTTTTTTC